CCCCCCCCCCCCCCCCCCCTTCACTCAGGCGATGATAGTTTATCGATGCAAAGTCCACTATCAATGCAAAGTCCACTAAGCCATGTGCCTTTTATCCGGGACTATGTCCATTGCCCCCGGGGTACATCCAGTGCCCCCAGACATACCTAATACTGCGAGGTCCATGCAATACCCAAACTATTCTGTGATAAAAAGAATTTTATGCTTAAAAAGTCCCCTTAACATCAAATTTTAGGTTGCATCAAATTTTGAGCTGGATCAAATTTTGAGATCCATCAAATGCTTCACCCAGTTCAATCGCTCGGTTAGAACTGGTAACTAGAGCGGAGGCTAGGTTACAGATTAGCGTGCGGCATTGAGTCTTGTTTGACATATATGGAACACACTCATTCATTGAGATTTCTTTGCTCCTTCCTTCACAGGTTCTGCAATAATATTGTAGACAGTACTCCTACTCTTTGGTTTTTCCAGTAAAATTAGCACCAAGTTTCTTCTCAAGAGCATGAATCAGCGCAGCCCCTACCGACTGAAAATAAAAGTGCCACACTTTGATTCATAATTCGCAAAGCTCAATACTTTGAGAGAAAAAACGCGTCAAGATAAATTACTTCTTATTTGATTAACTGGCTGACTGATTAACTGATGGTGTCCTCTGCGGTCTTCCGTGCGCTTTTAAGTGTCGTGCGGAGAAAATTAGGTGATAAAGACCAGAAAAATTAAAAGACTTGAAAATGCGGGGAAAGCATACAAAAATACATTTTTTTTACTGGAATCTTCCACTCTCAAGGATCAAAAGTGATTTTCTAAAATCCGTTTTTCTAACCAGGAATTTCTTTGTAGGCCTGTGCAGACAGTTTGGTGTTAAGATAATGAAATATTCCTATACTTTTTCATTTCTCAATTCTTAACATCCGTCTGCTAGACAGTATATTAAAATTCAAAGGAGTGTTTTTATTTTGATCGCACTTGACGGCTAATGAGTTTAGGGATTTATCGCTAGAAATTTAAATATAATTTTTTTTCTAATTCCTCCCTTTTTCGGGGCAAGGTTGGATAAGTTCATGCAATAATAAAAAGTCGCCACTCATTTAACGGCTGTTTTCCTCAAATATCGCATTTATTTTCTATGCGTTATTATAGATCGTTGAATCTACATGTCAGATGTAGTTTGTGAATCAAGATGGGTGTCGACTACACTCAGATATAGATACAAAGGGACTTAATTTTTCGTCTAGATCTTCTTTACTTTTGTTACACGACGAGTGATAAGTCCCTTGCTGGAACTTCACAAGATGAATGTGCATGCTCACCAGTCTACCTTTGATTCTCGGGGGCAAAAGCGAGATAATTTATTGTAATGTACATGAGAGTGTGGATCTTAAAGAGAAGCGACAGCCTTATCAACGTGTTGCATGGTATTTCTATCTTGAAAATCTACTAACATTAATGTAGACTTCTAATCTGTGAGTTTTGATTTAAGAACTGGGAAGTAAATTTGTTTTATTTGGTTGTCCTGCATGTTCTTCATATTATGAAATTAATTGTATAAGACAATATCTACAAAAATTTTATTAAACTACCAATCTCACTTAATTAAAATCCGGCTTCAAGATTTGAATTTGTGGGTGGTTCGAGGCAAATACACACTGGATTGCGTGCAATCTGTGGGTTTCTGCACTCTTTTTTTTCGTGAACTATACATCTGCTAAAAGCAGTTGGAGATGATTGTTTTCACATGCATGTAGCATCTGTAATAGTAAACTGTAGTAAACTGTTCCACATAGAAGATCATCTTAGATGCTTCGACTACACTCCACTCCCCTCTCCCCCTGGCGTCGCTTCTTCTATAACAAAAACAAACGATTTTTATTTACAAGTTGGCGGTTTTATTTCCAAATAAAGAATAATACAATCCAATCTTCCTTGGTTTGTCCATGTAAGGATTGAAATATTCATACAAAAGCTGTTCAGCTGGTTTGAAGACAATGTTTTTATAATGTACAGCATCGTATCTGTCGCTACTTCCGTCGGTTCCTTCCGGAAACGAATAACTCATCGGAAAAACATCCAAAATCTCAATTCCCGCATTACACATGGCCCAAACAGCGTATGCATTGTACAACTGTATGCGCTGTGGAGAAACAAGGAGCAAAAAATGATCAGAATAAAACTGATTATTCAATTAAAATATAATCATTTTTCAAGCACGTGTCGAAAGTAATCATTAACTGCATGTACCGGTTTTAATTTACTTCGCTTTGCAATATTCTAAAAAGTTTTACGCCATCACTGTTTTACCGGGCGGGGTGTCCATATGGGAACCGGCAAACTGGTTTTGATAAACATAATCAATTGACTAGAACATAGGTCTTAAACGCACCTGAAGAGTTAAGAACCGCGGGCTTGGATGGTCATGATACAAAAATCTCTCTCTGTGAATGGCTGTCGTCGTTTTCCAAATCAGTTTCCCTTTGAACTTTAGTTCGATCACGCCATGTTCATTCTCCCAAGTCTCTTTAAACATGTCAATAATTGCATCAATAAGCTTCCGATAAATTCCAAATTTTAAAGCGGATACGTAATGCAGTCCACAGTTGAGAATTATCACACTGTTTTCGTCCATTTCAGGGAGATAAATGACGTTTCTAATTTCTTGTAACACGCGGGAAGGATCAAAATCTCGATAAGTCCTTTTGTACTTTTCAACTTCCACTGGTTCAATCATGTTGTACACCCAAGTGTACGTCACATTACAGGCCTTGAATATTTCCGTGCAGAGAGATGTGTAGTAAATAGAATCGTAAAATCGCAAGGCTAATGAATCACCATAGATCCACAGAGTTCCCTTCCTCTTACGCGGAGAATTCTTGAATAATCTCTCTGAAAAATAAGGGTTCAAAATGTGCGCCATAAGTAACATGGTTTTTTTTTTGTTACAGTCCATTTGGTCAAGAGAATATCAACCACGTTATCATGGGAAGAATAAATAAGTATAACTTCCCTGCGTGGCGCGAAATTTAAAATAGACTTTAGAGATTAATATGGGTCAGGGAGACGTGGAAAGTTTTCTCAGTTAATATTCCCTTAATTTGGTAGGTACGGAAAATCAGACTCCATTGCAAGTTCACTCTAAATATTGATGTTTTTCCTTTCATTCGTGATTCTCCTTTCAAATAGTCAAATGCGAAATGACAACAAAACAAAGTCTAAAATTTTCTCAGCTTGATGGGTTAATATATAGATTTAGCCAAGCCTAAAAGCGGAGCTCGCATTTTTTTTTCCCGCACGTCTCAAGGGCACAACGCCTTGCCCCGGCCAGAACTAGAACCCGGTGGTCCGACTCGGAGCCCAGTGCACTGACCACTGGACTACTGGACAAAGCCATGGCGTTGGCGTGCCCGCGGTACAGTTGACCACGCATGTCAAAAGTAGCACCTCGTACGGTCGTACGGTCGTACGGTCGTACACTATTTTTGATAAGTATAGGGCTTCGTTGCGCGCACTTCACGCGTTGCAAGCACTGCTATTATGTAACTGTTACAATAGATCACTCAGTCATTAAACATGTTTGGATCTGTACTGCCATATCGGGGATTTCTCCCGATTATTTATATAGTACCTGAGTTCCGCTGCCCTTTGTCCTAAAGCAGAATTGTGGATGACTTGTCCAGAGGGAAAACTCGGCCCACCCCTCCCACCCCTCACACAAAAAAACTGAGACTGGTTAAACTTGAGACTTTTTCAAGTCTTTGTACCTTAAGAAAATTTGAAGAGATGTGTGAGTGTATAACGATAACCAAGCTTAAATGAAAGTACTACACCTTACCAGGAGCGTGTGGTACCCAAGTCCTGTTGCTCCAGTAACCGAAGCCATCCGATAGAAATTTACAATTTGTTCCACAATATGACGGGTATCCAAGCCCGTAACTCAAAAATTCTGCAAAAGAAAAATGACAATACTGAAAAACCATGATTTTGACCGAAAGAACCAAGTATGCCGCGCGAATTGGGTAAAATGTTAACAACCTTAGCGGTAAGGATTCATTGATCGGGGTTAACCGCGAGCGTGACGCAATTCCACGTAATTCTCACTTCGCACTTGCCTTCTTTTGCCTGAAGAATGCACAAAATTATAAAAAAAACCGCCTTTTCCATTGTTGAACAAGCTTAACTCGTAGTTTTTCAAAGGAAAAGAGAGATTAATTATGATTACAAATGGTCTGATAACTGGAGAACCGCTTCCAAAATCTGTCGACATGGCTCACATCTTTTCAATTAGATCAGTTTGCTCAGATAAAAAGTGCCCAAGACAACAACGTTGTTTGAAAAAACGTAAAATTAAAACCAACACGCTAATTAATACCATCTCTTCTCATTGGCCCGCTGCTCACAGGCACGTCAAAACAGAATTCCTCGCCTCCCGAAAGCGGTTGCATTAAGTAAACTTGCTTTCCGTTTAGAATTCCTTGTGGCTGGTTGCTTCCGTGACTGTTCCCTGAAGAAGAGACAATAATGGATGATAATCTTAACCCTTTACCGTTCACTGAAAAAAGAATGGTTTATTGGTTAAGCTGTTTTAATCTCCGTATTTGAAGTTGTATAATGACTAGTCTAAAACTTTAAAATCGTATTTAGTCTCCCCCCTGTTCTTTCGAGAGAAAGGACTCTGAGAAGGTTTTGTTCCCTGGTTGATGCAATCGCACTGTAACATTAAATACGACTTCAGCTTTAAGTAACAATATGAGAAGATGATACAATGAGATTGGCCGTCCGCCTGGCTTATTCCAAAGAACAGAACAGGTTCGTTTAATCCTCTCTTGGTTACCTGCCTACCTGAAACAAACCAATAATCCGGAGGGTCTTTCATCCCGTCACATAGGGAATGATCCAACACCGCCGACAAGCAATAATTCCCTGGATGTAGGATCAAGAACAGAATCTCGTATTCTCCGTTACCAAGGTCAGTTACCGTGGGCGCAAACCCAGTGGGACCCGAGATAAAAACTCGCCAATAGTCCCCCCCGACCGATTTTGGAAGGTCCTCAACAGTCTGGGACTGAATGATAATCCTGCTAAACTGTCCAGCAGGTTGAATATCAGTGGATGAAACAAAACTCATTCTCCCATTAGTCCGGTTTTCTACATTCCATCCAGGTAAATTATTTTCGTAGACCGTGTTTTCTATGCAAGGTTCCTGTAGCCGTCCCCAATCTACTCGTGCATTGCGCATTCGACACCAGTCCCTGCCAAAGTCTTCTAAAGTGTTTCTGTTGACATTACTTGTCAGATATAGTGGATAATACCACTTGAGGTAAATAAACAGCGATATTATCACACACCAGTAGAAGCAAAATGCTCGTCGTAATAGAAATAGTCGTGGCAACCCTCTCAAAGTTCCGACTTTATGTACTCGTGTTTTGATGGACTGCTGGATGGACGGAATCAATTTTTTCCTTCGCATGCTGTCACAATTTTGGTCGTCAGTAGAAGATGTAATGATGAAATCTGGGTCATCCTCATCAATTCCGTTCATATGATCTGCGCGCAACACAAAGAGAAAAATTGTTCACTCCAGAGACGAAAAAATGACCTAATTCCAAAAAAAAAACAAATTGGCACTTGAACAGTTGAATGGAACCTGTCTGAAAGCAACCTGTTCCCCTTTGCACTCGTCTCCGAGCTATCAAAACAATTACGGTCCCTGCTTTCGATTTTCTCCCGCCCGAAATAGATTTCATTCAAACACAATGGAACTCGCAGCTAAACCATAGTCAAATTAATTTGAGAGATTGTACGCAGAGACAATGAAGATATTCCAGCTATGCTATACTTGAAACTGCTGGTAGAGCGGCTACTTAACCGGCGCTAATCAATAAGCCGTTTCTCTTACCTCTCAACTTTAAGAAAGAAGTTGTTCTCTCTGTTGCTCGTTATCCCATCTTCGAATTCCAAGATATTAGAAATATCTGTTCGTGAGTGACATCAGGTGGTGTGATTAAAAGAGAATAATAGAATCCTCCTTACCGGTGAATCGTAAAATTCACTTGCTGATTTTTTTGTTCTTTGTTCACCCGTCGTTATCCGTGTCACGTGATTTGTGACGTCTGCCGTAAGACCTGTTAAGTTACTCGGGTCTCATTGATTATACCACGCCTTAACTATTGATTGTAATTAAGCAAAACTTTCAACTTGAGGTGCATAAGAAAATAAAGAAATTCCAATTTTTTTTTCTTCATTGAAAGCTTAAACGTTCATGTATTTTCTATTAAAATTTACAAATGACAAACAGAATGACATGAGTCCGAGCTTGGTTATAATTTCAATGTTGAATTACAAGAATATTATTTGATTATAGTACTTCTCGCTGAAGTACATGTTATATCCTGTAATGCGAGGTTTATCAAGTTATCCCAATTTTAAGAAATCTATGAAAAAAATTATATAATTTTAGAGAATAATACATAGGTGCGCGTAGATATGGAATTTCTTTTCCAACCGTATAGCTAATACATTTAGAAATACTGATTGACCGTGACAACATTTCATATTTATTAAAATAACAAGAAAAAAAGAAAGTCAATTCTATTGCAGGGTTGGGCCTCTGAAATAATGAGAAATACAATTTAAAAAACCCTTTGATGGGCAGCTCTGAAAGTATATTCAACTTGGCAGATGAACCAACATGATCGGGAAAAATCAGCCAGCGGAAAAAAAAAACCAAAATGGCTGCCTGCGAACTGGACATTCGTTAATGTATGCTAAGACTTGTGAGAGAATGTGGCAAAACCAAAAAATTTTTATAATCTTTGCAGCCGTCCTCCAGTAACATTTTTTAAATAAACAATATCAAAATTCGAATAAGGCCTTTAAAAAAAATCAGGGGTAAAGTTTAAAAATTCGAGCTGTTACCGATCAACGGCATCATCAAGGATGAAAGAAATATTTTTAGTAGAGCTTAAATATAAATCAATTTCCTTGGATTGTTTCATACACCGTAAATTTCTCCAGGTTTTAAAATTTGCTGATTATCGGAGATGAGTTCGTAAAGGCAGTTAAACCGCCAGCTAAAACCTGACGTTTCGAGTGTTAAACGTAAGTGGGGCAAATAAAATGTTATCAATAATCTTAATTCCCTGGAGAGGGCAAACGCCGAAAACGTCAGCTTTCCAAAATTCTCTTCGGCGATTAGACTTCCTTCATCAACTTGTGGTTGATAACCAACTAATTGTTTCACCAACGCACCACAAAAATTTTTTAAGAAAGTAACAATAAACTCGTTCATCTCCAAGGCTTCACACTTCTCTGTTTGTGTTATTGACTGTTGTCCACCGAGGGCTGAAGTATTCGAGAAGAATGTGTTCCGCGGGCTTGATCACCAAATCCTTGTAGTGGACGGCATCGTAAGGATCCAAGCTGTTGTCGGTTCCGTTTGGAAAAGACGCACTAATTGGGTACACATCAAGTACCTCAAAACCAGCTTGACACATAGCCCAGGTGGAGTAAGCGTTGTACAGTTGTACCCGCTAGAGGGTGTAAATTTGAAAAGAGAATTTCCAAGTTATCTGACAATGCTTCCTGGCAGTTTTATTCAACTGATCATTTATTTTCAGTGTTCACATTATATCGACCTACATTCTTTAGAAGAAAGGAACACAACGGTCAAACGTCTGTGCTTGTACGGAAGTTGAAAAGGCTAAGAGGCGGCCAAAAATTTTCATTGAAACTTAAGATAATTGAAAATCCAGTAATTCATACTGTTTTAAAAACATGTAGCTTTTTGGTAAAACTCTGAGCAAAAGGGATCAACAGAATATTGTAACTGAATAAACTTCGCGTTCGAAAATTTAAAGTTCTCCTTTTCCCTTACTTTATTTCATGATTTTTTTTCGGCGTAGAAAATCCATAGAATCAATTTGTTCATGCTTAACATTTGATCGATGCGTTACACGAAGCATAATTCGATTTTAAATATGAATTTAGGCGTACAATTCCTGGTATGCACACAACAGGCGACGAATCTCCGCGAGACTGTTTCCACGCTTGTGCATGTTTCTATCGATCATATACCATGTAGTGGTAACTGGTTGAATTTTGGTCTTTTGAACCCGACCTCGCTTAACGTTCAATAGAACTCGCCATTGATTTACTCAGTCACAAAGAGTAAACACAAACATATAATTTTGCGCGCGGTCTGGTAGCTACCATTAAAATTTCATTAGTGTTTGATTTTTGCCGATCATTCAACTCACTTAACCACGTATTTCAAATTGATCTCTGGCGCAAACTGTTAAATTCAACATTACAGAAATTACACAATGGACGTACCTGACGAGTTAAAAATCTTCGCTTGTGATGATGGGGATATCTTAACCTTTCGCGGTGAATAGCAGAGGTTGTCTTCCAAATAACTTTCCCTCGGAACTTAAGTTCTTTTCCTTTGTTGTCTGTCCTTGTCTCTTTAAACAAATCTATTATTCCGTTGACAACCTCGCGGTATGTTGTGAAGTTTGTCGAAGTCATAAAATGCAGACCATGATTTAAGAGAATGACACTTTTCTCGTTGTTCATTTGTGGCAGATGAATTACTTTCGCAATGGCGTCCAACACTCGGGACACATTTATTGGTAGAAAATTTTGTTGCTGCATTTCCACTGTAGCGTTTTTAATTGGATAAATCCAGTTGTACGAGAAACTGCAAGCGCGGAAAACCGTTCTACACAGCGGAGTTCGGCGGATAGAGCGATAAAACCGACCCGCATTTGAATCTCCATAGATCCACAGTACACCCTCGCGGTTCCTTGGAGAATGTTTCGTCCACAAACCTGTAGAAGTTGAAAGAACAGCCCATTTCACATTAAGCTATTTTCGAGATCTCTAAGGCATGCGCATTCGTTTCAAAACGAGGAGAAGTGGGAGATCTTTGACGTGAAAATGCTTTGAATTCTATTTTGGTGCAAATAAAAATAATTTTAACGAGCAAGATCGGCTTTACATTTTGTCATATTTTGAAATTGAGGGTTTTTGAGACTCGCTCTATAAATCAAGAAAAATCTCTTTACCCTAACTCTGATTGTATTGCAGCCTGATTCCTTCAAGTAATGATTTCTGATGATGTGAAGTCTCCAGCGATTTAATACTAGCGGCTGGTCAGTAAATTTGATCGGGCTATGAGAAAGAATGAAGTTTCCGAAAACATGTGAATTTCACGCGAACGTATGCCTCTGGTTTGATCCCCTTGCTGTATATTGGTGAAACGACCTGCATTACCTTCCACTTGTGGTTTCCAGGTTCCGTTAGACCAGCGGCCGAAGCCATCCCATAAGAATTTGCAATCCTCCCCGCAAGAAGGAGGATTACCAAATCCATAACTGAGAAATTCTGAAAGCGTGGAACGACGTTAGAATTTGTCCAAAAAGCTAAAAGATTGATAATTGAGTATTGAGATATTCCAAAAGAGTGTTGATCACAACTAAACACACATTAAAAATATATTTTAACTTTTTAGTCTATAGCGGGTTTGAGACAACATATTGATCGTCAAAAATGTGACTTACCTGTAAAAGTTCCCTTCAAAAATTTCCTAACTAAACGTATTTGAAATTGGGAAGGGTTTTTCCACATTTTCCAAAACCGACCAGTTGCGATTTTTGATTTAGTGCTGAAAACCAAAATTAAAGTAATCACGACAGCCAATCAGAAGAAGGAAAATATCGCAGAGAGCCAATGAGAACTCAAAGTCAAAACAAGCAAATTGTCTTAATCGTGGGAAAGCGCTGGTGAACAAGTCGCAGTTGGTTTAATTTTGAATCTGATTGGATAAGAAAGTGGTGCGAGCGTTCTTTTTCTTTTGACCATAACAATTTCAGATTTCTTCCGACTGTTTTATGGGAATTTGCTCCAATTAGTTGAGTGCGCGTAATCCAGTCCATGAACTCTCACCTCCACCTACGTGTGGTTTCACCCTATGAAAGTTTTTCCTATGGAATTAAAACCTGGATTCGTTTTATTTATCAAAAACCAATCCCCTCTCGGAATAAAGGGGGTAAGTTTCTAAAGAAACTGTGGTGCTGCGTCGGTGGGAGAGTATAGCAGGTAATTTATAGTGTTAACAACTGGGTTTAAAACGTAAATTGGCCACCGTAAAGAGTAAAAAAGCTGACGTTTCGATCGTTAGCCCTTCGTCAGAGCGATAGACGCTCGTCGGTTTTTTTACTCTTTACGGTGGCCAATTTGCGTTTTCAACTCAGTTGTTAACAATAAATTACCCTCTCAGAATAACTCGGGGCCGACCTAGGTGATGAGAGGTGCGCTACCTTCATATCTTGTAGGACCAACCGGTGACGCCACTTCTATTATCAGCGGTATTCCTTCCCAAAGGGGAGTTTGCAAATAGACGTAGGGTTCCATTAGGGTCCCGTGTGGTTGCCCGTTTCCATGGATATTTCCTGATGGACAAAGAGAGAAACGAACTAAATCTTTCCCGCTCAGACTGTAACTCCTGATCGATGTATTTATAACCAGGGCAGCCCCCCAGCTTCCGAGGGAACACGGTGGCTAAGCGTCGAACAAGCGCGAGTTGATCAATTTTCACCGACTTCTCACGCAAAATTTGAAAGGAAACATACAAAAAATCTCTCTCAGGTAAAACAATAGTATAAAATACTTCAAATAAAATCTGGTAAGGAACAAATGGGAGAAAGGAAAACTTGAGACTCTCTGAACACAAAGCTTTTCCGATAACAGGTGTCCTGTTGACTGACCATTTCATTTGTAGCTCTACGAAAAAGGAAACACAGTTTTAAAACACCGTGAATAACAAACGTCCGTGGCTGGTTATAGCTCCAATAGGTGAAATAACAAATCTTTGTTCTGACAGCCTGAAAGCACACCTCTTAGCCAAAACAACGTTCGCTCACTCAGACGTTTGATCGCTTTTCTTCCTTGAGAGGATTCCGGGAACCATGTCATAAGATAATTTTTTTTTGAGGTTCTCAGAAATTCTTTACGATTCATAGAAAACAATCGTCTACCACAACTTACCAATCATAAACCAGTATTCAGGTGGATTTTTCATTCCGTCGCACAGGGAGTAATCCAAAACAATCAATCCAGAGTAGGTACCAGGCTCCAGTATAAGAAACAACACCTCGTACGTTCCATTTTTGTGATCAATCACTGTCGGTGCCTGTACTGATGGGCCCCATATAAGAACCCGCCAATCGTCACCCCCGATTGCCTTAGGTTGGCCACTGGACGTTTGGGACTGAATACTGAACCTACTAAACTCGCCTGCAGGTCTGATATCCATATAAGGAATAAAGCTTTGCCTCGGGTCAGTCCTGTTTTCAATCCCCCAACCAGGTAGACTTCTACCAAATTTGGTGTTCCCTTCACAAGGGGATCTTAGTAATTCCCAGTTTATCGAAACCCTTCGCACTCGACACCAGTCCCACCTGAACTCCTCTAAACTGTTGCGATTTACCGTGCTCGTCAGATATAAGGGAAAATACCACTTGAGGTACACGAACAGGATAACTGTTAATATCCAAAAGAGAAAAAATACTCTGCGCAGGATAAATACCCTCGGTAAACTTCGTAAAGTTCTGCCTCTTGTCAGAAGAATTTGGGCCGAAGCACAGAATCGAGTGAGGTTGCGCCGCCAATCTGGAGGACAGCGGAGAAATGCATAAAATGCATTCTGGGATGCGCTGTTAGCATAGGTTTGTTCGTCACGCTGTTCCAGATAAACATCAACATCTCTGCGAGACTCGGTCATAGAAAGCACTCTTGAAAACTAAGAGCGATTTGAACATGAGAGGAGCCTAGGATAAATGAACAGAAATGAGTCAGAAACCAACGATAATGCATGGCTAACGGCTCATAGACACAATGTCTATTAAGGAAAAGTTTTGTTATACAAAATAGTAAACAGAACCACAAAACAATTAATTAACAGTAGGAGGTTCGTGAACGCGATCAATGACAGCTATACTCGCGACTTTCTTCATGGAAACTATCATTATAGTTTGGAAAAGACCAGCACGAACTTTCTCCTTATCTCATCACCTCAGAATAACACATTATGGTCAAGAGAATATATGAAATGACCGCCAATTTAAGAAGCTCTTGATTGTTAAACAGACTCTCCTTGTCAGCACCTTAGAAAATGTATAGAGAGCAGTATGGAGAATATGCCTGTTGATGTTAGGGTAAAAAAAGGTCTTAATTTATTTTTATTCAGACACGGATATTGCTTCTTGAGACGATAAGAATTAACACTCAGCTCATTGGTTCTTCTGAAGACACTCGACTTCTGGCAACCTGATCTCGGGTTCAATTTTTGGAATAAAACTGTAATAATAACAAAGATCCCAATGCTTAAATTGCACAATTTTCAAGATTCCTGACTCGTAACCCTCCAAAAATAATCTTAGAAAGATTAAGGCAAAATAGAGAAACCGACTCTTAAAGTTTCGCAGCTTTCTTTCAGCTTTAATCGAGATTTTGGCCATCAATGCTATTACTAACGAAGCAATAATCTTCATGGCTGTTCTTCAAGAAACTTCATTAACTATCTCAGCGCTAAACATGAAATTACCTTTGTTTTGTTCAGTCACGCTTGTATTGCGACCGGTAACACCAGCAAAAATATAATTTTAACTGATTTGAAATTATTGTCGACAAACCTCTGTTGTGATAATTCAAAAGTATGATTTCTTCGTCCCCAAAAAACATCAAATGGCTTCATTCCATGCGGTAGGGATTAAACGATCGTCAAACGAATTGAATTTCTGTCGTCCCTGTAGTCTTTTTGTTTGATTTAACCTGGAAAAATATAATGAGGTTCTTTCCATAGCACGTGATGTTTTAGTACCAGTCGCTGTTTTGGTGCTCTATTCACATCAGAAATAATTGGAAACAAATAATCCTTTATTTGTTCTGGTAGTTAGCAGTTTGTGTTAAGATCCGTTCGACAAAAACTATGCCAGAATGTCGACTCTAACGGATGAGTTGTTAGAAATTTTGTTTTAAATCCTAGAAAAGCCGATAAATCAAAGCGTACTACAGTAATTTCTTGACAAAACAGAAGAAAAATAAGTATTATGCTCTGTTCTGTCTAATTTCAATCTTGGACGGTTCCGTCTGATTTTGAACGGTCCCGTCTAATTGTAGACGGTTCTCCAATTATTTCCGATTGGCTTTGTTCTTTTTCTAACTCTTCGGTTCCGGTTCCGATGAAATGAAAATGGTAGCACACCACAGGTAAGAAAATGATTTTATTACAAGCTATCTGTTGACAAAAATTGTCACCCTTCTCTCTTGTAAGTTCTGTAAAAATAATCTTCCAATAGTCTCTCAGCCGACTCGAATACGAAATGTTCATAGTGCACAGCGTCTCTCGGTCTGGAGGGTGTGCCCGTCCCGTATGGATAAGAATCGGTCAGCGGATGAACGTCCAGGACAGGGACATTGGCTCTACACATTGCTGAGGTGGCGAATGCGTTAAAGAGAAGGACTCGCTGCTGAGAAAAAAAATTAGATCAATATCAGTATCTGGGCAACTGCCCACCTACCCCTCCCCTAACCCAACAACAGTCAATTGATAACAAGTTAGGGTTAATGTTGGGTTAGGGGAGGGGTAGGTGGGCAGTTGCCCAGATACTGATATAGATCCAAAAAATTAATACGAAATGGTGTTTGATGCGAATATTGTCAAAAACAAATGGAAGATATATCCGAGTGAATAACATCTGTAGGAAAGTACTCCTAATAAATGAACATTTCATACCTGGTATGTTAAAAATCTCCTAGCTTGAATGTGTTTCCCGTCAAGTTTTTGTTTATTCAAGGCCGTTGTTGTTCTCCAGATCATTTCTCCAGGAAAAAGTAGATTTCCATCAGACCTCTTCACCATCTTTGTTTCTTGGACGAGTCTTATTAGCGACTCAATTGTCTTCTGATAGTTGGAGAAGTTTGTACTCTCCAAGTAATGTAGACCGGCATTAAATAAGATAACACTGTTCTTGTCAAAAAATGGTTTGGATATGACATCTAAAAGTTCACTAACAACTCTCATAAAATTAAAATCGAGATTGTCATCTGCGGTTTTAGCAGAAGAAATGTTTCCTGCGAACAACAAAGAAAGAAAGCATTGGAAATGTGAGCCCCTTCCGAGTGACCGAGCCCCAAATCTTACTAAGAAATCTTGTAGAAATTCGAAATATATTGGAATTAAACTTCATCACCTTTCAACTGATATATCCAGTTGTACGTGTGCCCGCACCACTTGAAAACGTTAGTGCATAGCGGTCTCGGCCTGACTCCCCAGAAAAACTGCTCACTGACCGAGTCGCCATATATCCACAGCACACTATCTCTCCGCAGAGGACTAGGATCTAAGGAACTGCGCCTGTCTTTATCTGGAGTAAAATTATACGAAGCAGTTAGACTAGTTCTCTCAACGATGTTTCGTTGGAAAATACAATTTGCTCTTTCAGTTTTCTCGATGATGATGACTTGCACTCAGTTTGTTCAGACGTCAGTAACAACTTCCATCGACAAAGAGACTGCCTTCTCATAAAGAGAAATTATTATAATGTAGCTTTATCGCAATTTGTCACAACACCTATGGTGAGTCTTTGTGATTGTATCTTGAATCTATTCCGGTTTCCTATTGGCTACCCATCTAGACAATCCCTAGGCTTCGTCGTGCGTTCCAAACACACGAACTAGTAAGGAAGGAACGCGTGACAAACCGACAATGAGGTGAGAACTCGTGACCGTGAGAAAGGTAGGGGTGACTATGGAATACAAATGTGTGATCATGGTGTAAAAACGCGTGACACAGGCGAACGAATGCGTGACATAACCCAGAAAATGTTAGAGCCGGAAAGGAGTCTTCATCTCACCGTCTCCTCCTATGAAAGGCCGCCATGTGACTGACCCTTGTCGACCATTGACCCAATTGCCAAATCCATCCCAAAGAAATTTGCAGTGAATTCCACAAGTTAGGTCGAAAGCTGCGGTTTGCACCACTGAAAAGAAATGAGATCAAATCAGAGCTCATCGATTTTTTGTTTTGGCTCTGAAAAGGTAGCACTCAGGTGGAGTAATAGAACTAGAAATGCAGCTACAAAGCAATAAAATCCTTGCAATGGCCAATCAGATGAAAAGGGAGAATCACAAAGAGCCATTGAGAACTCAAACAAAATTAAGCACCTTTAAGAGCGGGAAACGATGCACGTGATCAAGTCGTGAATGGTTTTAGTTTCACGTGTGATTGATGAGGAAGATAATTTGTGTTTCCTCGACCACCAACAGAAAGAAGAAACTTGTTTTTAAATTAGAACTTTATTCAAGGGTCAAATAATCCTCGGTGGAGCAAAACCAAGGATACTTCTACATCCCTTTAAATAATCATTGAAGATTGCTCTCCCTAATTACAATGAACCATTAAACAAGAGTAAGGTTTCCAAAGAACCTTCCACCAATATGTAACTTCCTTGATCACGCAGCGTGCCACTATGCTTTAATGTATCGCCTCACCTTGATATAGAGGCTGTTTCCCAGGAGGCATCGGACGTATGGTAATCCATATAGGGTTACCAGATCTCAGGGGCTTCAGAATGTAAGGCCGTTCAGCTTTACGTTTAGTGGGTCCCAGTACTCCCTCTTGTTGGTTTTTGCCTTGAGCGTTTCCTTCAAAGTATCAAATTTGTCAAACGTTTTCGCTGAAAATGTACCGGTTCCCTTAAAATACTCCTGGGTAGAGAGAAGCACTGTGAGAGTAAACTGTTTTGCTCAAGAACAAGACTCATTGACCTAACAAGGTTTGTAGCTCAGACCTCTCGACCTGGAGTCCAGCGTGCTAATTATTCAGCTACCGCGTCTCCTAGCAACATTAGGGTTACAAATAATGCCTTCACCTGTAGGTTAGATATCTTGGTTATCAAAAGAGCTAGGGGGAATTTTCCGTTTGGAATGAGTACTGTGTGGGATATTTGAACCTTGGAGTGATCCTCTTTTGGTCAACGAGGCTTACTTCTAGGTTCTTTTATTGAGAACTACCGGATTTCTAGCATTATCAAAAGATAGCTGCGTGCGTCTGCTTAACTGTAATTTTGCTACGCTTATTCTTAATATGATCAAGTGAAAATTAATCCTTGCAGCTAGATCATTCTCTACGAAAATCTGAGAGCGTTAAAATCTTGAAAGGTTGAAAATTGTTCTTTAGGTTTAGTAATTTCTCGGAATTTAAATTTCATTGATTAACAGCACCAGAGACATTAAAGGTTAAAAAAACAATGAAATTCAGTTTGATTGTTCATATATATTAATGCTGTGCTATTGAGCGCTAATATTGCAAATATTATAATTATTCGGCACTTTGGTGACAACAACAACAACCGCACTAGAAGTGATTGACTTACCAACAATAAACCATTCAGAAGGCGGATCTCTAAATCCATTGCAAAGCGAATGATCCAAAACCGCTTCTACCTGATAATTACCGGGCTCCGTAATAAGGAACACGATTTCATAGGTTCCATTCATGTGATCAAAAACAGTCCCAGCAACTGAGGCAGGGCCCTTGAGCTGTACCCGCCACGAGTCTCCTCCGATTGTCTTTCCCTGGCCACTGCTCGTCACTGTCCTGATGCTGAACCTGCTAAATTCACCACACGGTCGAATGTCCCACATAGAAATGTAACTCACATCGGGGTCCGTGCGGTGTTTCACTTCCCAGCCCGGCAATGAAACACCCCAGGCTAGGTTCCCACGGCAAGGTTTTAATATTTGTTCCCAGTCCACTCGCATATGTCTTATTCGACACCACTGTCTCATGAAGTCAGTAGTTCTGAGTTGATCCGATGACGGTGATTGGATGATTTTAATCAAAACAATGGTAGACAAAGTTATTACGAGTATTAACCATGTTCTCTTCCTTTTTGAGAATTTATAGCTGGGACAGGGCTCCTTACGGACCATTCTGCTAGTCCAATCCACGATTACATTGTTTAGTAAGAACTGAAGGGCAAAAAGACCTGTTTAACACAAAAAAGACAATGAGAAAAACAATAGACCAACCTCAAAACTTGATGATAAACTCTGATTAATTTTATTAGTCTAAAATTATTTGTAGATTTCGTAGGACAAGTACAGCGTTGTCAACGAGAATTTGAACTCGATTAAAAACTTGCGAAGTTACGCTCAAAATCCACTGAAAATCAGTTTAAAACAAATTCCCATGGTATTAAAAATACATATCACGTTTTGGATTTTCCTATAAATACAGTAACAGTTACGATTTATTGTCGTTGACGACGTTTTGGTATTTGCGCTAACAAAAATTACTATAGAACTGCGTTTTTTTGCATTCAAATCTACGAGTTTGGAGAAGCCTCTCTATTAGATTACTAAATATTGTTTATCAGTTCGTGAGAACAAATAATAAAGGTCTCTATTGCCTATGAGAAACTGAACTGCTTCTTGAGAAACAGCGGTAGATTAGAAATGCTTTGCTTACTGGTCAAATCGGCCCTGTAACTAACTAATCTGATTAATTATGTGCTTACCTGTTCATGATTAACGATATTTGGAGTTACTATCGAACATTTTTCACGTTCTCTTCGCGGAAGCTTCTTTCAATTCTTTTCAAGCGCAAACTGTCCGTGCGCAGGTGTAAATTAATTATCATAAATTAATTACCCGTAATCAATTGCGCGCCAGGTTTTTAAGAATGAGTGCGCAGTGAATTTCGCAAGATTTATCCAACTCTCAAGTTAAATATGGAAGT